AAATAAAATATGGCCAGCTGAATCTACAAATCTGAATGTCTCTATATGTATGGAAGAAATTGAATTTATAATCTAAATCCTTCCACCAAACAAAATTATCAGACTCAATAGCTTCACTGGTGAATTCTATCAAACATTAAAGGAGAAATAGTATTAATCTTAAAAATTCTTCTAGAAGCCGGAAGTGGTAGCGCATGCCTTTAATTCCAGCACTCAGGTGGCAGAGGCAGGAGGATCTCTATGAATTCAAAGCCATCCTGGTCTACACAGCAAGTTCTAGGCCAACTGGTGTTACAGGGAGACTCTGTCTCAAAAGACCAAAAATAAAAAATAAAAAAAAATCCAGAAACAATAGAGGGAATACTTCCCAAACTCATTTTTCAATGATCAACACAATCTTTAATACTAAAAGCTAAGGGCACTGAAAAACAATTACAGATCAAAAGGTGCAGCTCAGTAGTAGAGCACATGTTTAAAGCATCAGCACTCAATAAAGGAAAAATAAAAAGTAAACCAGTATCCCTCATGAACGACGTTGTAAAAATTACTCAAGAGGGTAGCTCAAGAGATGGCTCAGTGGTTAAAAAGCACTGCTGCTCTTCCAGAGGGCTGGTTCCCATCACCCATGTCAGGTGGCTCTCAACCACCTCGAACCCCAGCTCCAGGGGATCCAATATCCTCTTCTGGCCTCTCTGGACACTCACACACATGTGGCATACAGACATACATTCATATAACATAAATAGAAATAAAAATAAATTTATTTTAAATGACTCAAGAAAATGTAACAAAATTCAGCAATACATAAAAAGAATATAGTATAACCAAATGAAACTGATCCCAGGAATACCAGATCAGTTCTACATCCGGGAATCAAGGAGATGTACTTCCCTAGTCTTAAAAACAGTACATTTTCACATTTCTACACTTTGCCCAAAGACCTGCTGGAATTACACTAATCTTTTAAGGGAAGAGTTCAAATGATTTCTGAGAGAAATAATTCAGTGACAAACATTAATCATATTATCAGAGGGCTCTACCTCTAATCAACTTTCAATCTTCACAGAACTTTAATCCTGTCCTTATTTAACAAAGATGAACATTAGAAAAATGAGGACAAAGAACACAAGGCGCTCCTCACTTCACAGAAGTGCAATGACTATGGCTACGCTGCACTTACAACACCCAGGACACAATGTCCACAGGCAACCAAGTATAGTCTTCTTCTAGGACCAAAAAATTTGTTTTATCTTTCCTACTGGCTATTTAGAGTAATGTAATAAGCATGATGGGATGGGAAATTAAAGGAAAAAACACATGGCTGGGTAAATGTCTCCTATTAACTGGGAATGCACTATGGCAACATAGTGTGGTGGCACTCAGATGTAGTCTAACCCAGGAAACTTGTATAAAGTTTCTCAGAAAAAAAAAAAAAATCAGAAAAGGGAAAGCTCATCCTCTCAAGCTTATTACATGTGCAACTGATAGCACTTGAGTCAGCGGTCACTCCAATGTGAAGGGGGCTAAGAAAGCCAGTCAGTTCGGTATACAACTTGACACACCTCATGTCCTCCTAGAAAATTCAGAAATAAATTTTATATTCAAAAAGCTACATGTAAACAATGAGTCTTTCTGCAAGGAACAGTATATTCTAAAATGAAATGGAGATCTTTTTTAAAGGTTAAAAAACTCATTCAATTTTATATCTTACACAGCTTATATTAAGTTCAATGCTGTATAACTGAATTAACTCAACTGTGAACCTAGAAACTTGCACCCACTTGTGAAAGAGATGTACTCTTGCTCTAGAGTGTGTTACTGAATATGTTAAAGCTGTAGTGAAATGCTTCTTCTAATCATGTAGTTATTAAAAATTTTAAAAATAATGATTAAAAAAAAAGCTACATATAAGTATTTTGGTCCAATCACCTCTTTTCACTAACTAGCTTTTGGTATCTCTTTGGTATCTTTATCAGGAGTCCCCAAATACATTTTGAAAGTGACACTAAAGTTGAGGAGACGTCCATGCTAGAACTGAGGAATCTTAGAAAAAGCAATGCCACAAATGAAGACTGTGAATTAAGCCAAAGGGGGGGGGGGGTAAATTTTAGGCTCTTTGCAATCAATCAATAAATGTGATAGGTATACTTTACCTTAATTTCTATCCTTGCTCTGTGAGGAAAAAGTTGTCCAATCATAGAAAAGTCAGTTCCTACCATGCTGATGGCTAAAAAAAACATATCTGTTTCTGTAAAAATAAAAGATTTAGAATCACTGGAAGTTTTCTGTTCAGAGAAAATAAAACTCACTAAGCGTATCACTTAAAAAATAAATTATACAGTACTTAATTTTACTGAAAAGAAACCCAAAGAATACCTTAAAACATTTATGAAAAAAATAAATAAATAAACCTGCATAGCTGGTGTGGCATGTGGGGCAATAATAATCCCAAGATTCAGGAGGCTAAGGCAGGAGGATCGCTGTGAGTTCCAGGACTCCTGATGCAAACGCCACAGGATTCTCAGCCTGGGTTCCGCCTCAAGCCAGGTAGGACAGGAGTCACATCTGATGGGACTAGATCTCCTGGTAACACCTCGACTTACATAAGACCTCTGATCTGGTCTGAACTGGCCACCCAAGATCCTACTTTGCTCTGCACAGAAACAACTATGACAAGAAGGTGAAACAGGTTACTAAGGAATCAGCTAGGATGTTCCTGTTCCCATTCCAACGTGGTGGCCCTGCAAGCCAGATCATCACATGTACCTATACATCAACATAAATGGGTCCACCTGCCCAGGTGTTAAACCAAACTTGACACTTAAAGGTCTCTGAAGCAAAGCACTTAGTGAGCTGTGCAGACACCAGCCAGGAAGTGAAGAACCAGTCCCGAGACAAACTCCCACAGCCACCACAGACAGCACTTGTAAAAATGTCTATTAGACCTATGGGGTTACAGTGTTTTCTAATATTTTGGGGACACAAAGGTAGGAAGTGAGGGAATAATGATAAATTTGACAGAGGTTACCGTAACAGAGCAGGAGTGTATAATCAGGGAACAAAGTACAGAATCTTTCTTTTTGCTCTATATCCTTTTGCTATACTTAAAATTTTTTCCAGGCTGGAGAGATGGCTCAGCAGTTAAGAACACTGACTATTCCTGCAAAAGACCAGGGTTTGAATCCTATCACCCACATGGCAGCTAACAACTGTCCGTAACTCCAGTTCCAGGGGATCTGAGAGCCTCTTCTGTCCTCTACGGGCATTGCACAAGGGTGCACTTACCTACATGCAGGCAATACATGCATACACATCAAATAATAATAAAATATTTTAAAAAATAAAAATAAGGGCTGGAGAGATGGCTCAGCAGATAAGAGCACTGACTGCTCTTGCAGAGGACCTGGGTTCGAGT